CTTATTTCAAGGTATTTGATATAATAATTAAATATGATTCGGGCCATTTTCACAAACGCCAGCTTTAGAAGTAAACAAGAATTTTCACAAGGTAAGATGAATAATTTTAATAAACATCAGTTCTAAGAGAATATTTGAACTCCTTTAAATTATGCAAAAGTTAGATTGTTCGGCTAGTTGGCTCCTTTATAAACTTGCTCAAAATGCTATTTAAGGATATTGTGGCATAAAACAATAAATAAAAGGCTTTAAAATGATCAGCTGATCCCTCTTGTAAAGAATATATTGCATCAGGTGAACCAAATAATTTGTTTGTTCCTTAATAATGTCGCTAATCTGTTTCTAGAAGCCATTTATGTTTAGGTTAGAGGATGCGAATAACTTGTTGATGGCTGAAAAACAAGAAAAAATGATGTGGAGCGCGTTCAGCATCAATAAAATGTGAGTCTAATTCTTTCTACTGCATTAGCAGATTATCAAAAGTACTCATCTTTTTAAGTAGTACATCTAAACTTTTGTCATCAGACTTGCAATAAATGTCTCCTCAGACTGTAATTTAGCCACAAATTTGCCTAAATTGACCTGGATTTATGATGTTTAGGCGTTTTTGTGCATCGCTGCATAAAAAAACAACACGAATTGCAAATTAATGATGCAGCATTTCGAGTGTACATTAGAATTTGGCTTAATTACTTGTTCACACGATAATTATGAACGAATGAGCGATACCACTTTTGTCGTCCTCCCTTCATAGTCTCCTCTACTCGCTGTTCTATCACTCCCAGCCCACAATGTCATCTGTACATTTCACAGCCATAACGCCTTCGAGAACGGCAACTTCCCTTTGGTACAAGGGAAAGTGCACCAAGATTATTACACCGGCTCTCCTGGTACATGCAAATGTCTGGAATGCTTAAACTCTTACGCTACAGACAACTGGGCAAATCGGCTGAAGACGCGCCCACAGAGTGTGAGGCAGAAATAGAGACAGACGAGCAAAAAGTATGTCTGATATCGCTTGTAAATGTTTCCATGAGATCAGCCAAACAACCAGACACACACTCACAAACCGGCACAGAGCCAGATAGGCGCTGTACTGGTACCAATTAGGGTCTCGTTGTCGTGTCCCGGAGAGGATAGACAACAATCTTATTTCCTTTGGTAGCCCACCTCGATTATAAGTTTCCTACTCACCAAAATCTCCAACGCTATCGTGTAACTCGGTCCGTTCTGACCGAACCGGTTGCCATGATCATCACCAAGTGGAGCCAGCCCGACAACATGAGTCGACCACATGCCCTCTTCACTCTGGGCCTCATGTTTCTTGTCGTCTGTCAAGCTCAACGACTGCCTCATTTCCAGCCGTCTCAGTTGCCAACCAGCCATTCCAGAACTCTGTTCGGACGACCACCAAGCCCTTATGGTCCACGGTACCACGGGCTGCCGGAACCGGTACATTCATCGGCAGAACA